TCAAATTGGCTTCAATTTTAAAAATCTTCTTCTCCAGACCCAGATATGCTGGAAACCAATACTCTTCAAAGGTGAAAGGGTCTTGAGGTACTTTATCAAAACTGTCAATTTCATGACCCTCAAGCTTCACATTTGTCCCTGGGGAGGGGGTGAAATTTACTATAGTTTATGTAGGAAAATCCAACTTTGAGTATATTTTGTTCATTTTCTACTGGAAATCATTCAAACTTGATTAACATTATAACCATGAGATTACAGTTCAAATGTTATGGCTATTCTGTCTTTTCGTATTGAAGAGTTATCTGCTCTTGTGAACAGGTATCAATTGTTATGTCATTTGTTTGTGAGGGTAGCATCATACATTTTTGAGAAAACGACGTAATTTTCTCACACAAACTAATGACGTAACAATCAATACCTGCTCACAAGAGCAGATAACTCTGCAATACATAAAGACGGAATAGGCCTGTTGCTGAATGTTATCAATTTATATTTGACTAAGACTTTTTTTCTTCCTGTGGGACTATTTACACTCGCAAACAAGTGTTTTGTCGGAGGAAAATTCTAAAATGCAAATTTAGGCCATATCGTAACTCTTGTTAAAATGGATAATTGGTCCGACTTTAATTATAAGGGAATCTTCATGATACCGATGACACATACAAACTTTCATAACATGTGTGGGTGATAACTATAGGACAAGTTGTGCACACAAGAAAAATATGTTTCAAAGGGCCATAACTCTAGTAAGAATCGACACATGATCCTATGTCTCTGATTTAGAGTCGATAACCACATCTGTATGAAGCCGTGGCCATATAATCGCCAAACCTTAAAAAATAAAATATCATAGTAGCTTATTTGGTGTTTGCGTTTTTTGTGTCTTTGATAATGAGTAAATAATTTATAGTAGCAAAAATGCATTGAACAGATATCAAACCAATTGAATATGAATTTTATAACTGCTGAGATATTAGGTACGTATTGTTAATATAATACTGCAAATATAGCTATATATTCACTATATCTATGAAAGTGATGGGGTTTCCCAGACTTAAAAAAATATTTTTATCCCTTTCCCATCCGATTACCAACTTTTGAATACATTTTTTGATTCCATGATGTTATATGCAAAAACAAACTGTATGACGGAAAAGTGGTCCTCGTTTGGGAAAGTGCTCAAAATAATGAAAAACATGGTTGATGAAGTTTCTCAAAACTGCGACAGGTGTTACTTGGGTTAAACAGTTTGTATTTTCATATTAGTGTGTAACGCAGTTTACTTTTGACCAGGAGAAGTGAACGGTTCGAATCCAAGTTCAAATTCACTTTTTTTTATATTTAGACATGTGATCATTTTCCTTAATTAAATAATTGAATATTTTTGAAATCAATGGAACATTTTATTGAAATTTTAATAACATCCATATTTATTTACATTCTATGGAATCATGTTATCAAACCTCTGTACACGTGTACAGTATAGCTACGCTTTGTAGATAAGACATCATTTTAAATGATATTTATGAACATTCTTAATAGGTATTTAGGCATCTTATTCAATTTTCAAATAATGAAGAAAATGTTCATTTTTAGCTCACCTGCCCGAAGGGCAAGTGCAGGTGAACTTATGCCATGGTGCGTCGTCCGTCATCTGTCAACTTTTCTAAAAATCGCTACTACTCATTAACGACTGAGAAGATTTTGACCAAATTTGGTCAGAAGCATCCTTAGGAGAAGGGATTTTTTTTGTGTATAAATGGTTGGGCTGAGGGGCGGGGCCCAATAGGGGAATATAGCAAATTCTTTAAAATCCTTATTCTTCTGTAGGAATGAAAGGATTTGTTCCATGGTATTTGGTCTGAAGCATCCTTGGTTGAAGGGGAACCAACTTTGTATAAACCGTGGGTCTGCCCCCTGAGGGGCAGGGCCCAATAGGGAACACATAGTTAATTCTAAACAAGAGACCCATGGGCCTTAAAGGTCACCTGATATATTTATACAGAGAGTTGATTTTGTTTTTAACACGAACAGAAATATTATTCAAAGTGACAAAAAACAAAATTGTTATTCAATATCTTACTCAATATCTTATTCAATATCTAGCATACAGATTTAAGACTAAAAAGTATTTGAAACCAGCACCTCTGATTCTAAACAAGGAAAATGAAGAAATTTTAGCACACTGACTCCTTTGGGCCCCGCCCTACAGCCCTTGGGGGTAGGGCTGGCTCAAAATTTCAAAGTATCAAACTGTCAACTCAGGGTTATAATTCCAATCAAGTTATTAACATGTAATATTCAAAGTATCATTTGCCATTATAAACCATAAAACATTTTGCCCCCCTCCTTCCCCAGGGGGTAAATGTGAGACCCTAGGGTCATAAACGTTAAGACCCTTCCATCTATGAAGAGTGTTTGAAAATTGAATTATTCCAATGGAAATTAAACAAATGTTGGTCCAAAATGTGATTTCCCTATATAAACTATAGTAAAGTTTACCCCCTCCCCAGGGGGAAACGTGAGACCCCAGGGTCATGAAATTCACAATTTTGGTAAAGCACCTTAAGACCCTTCCATATATTATGAAGAGTATTTGATTCTACCATATCTGGGTCTTGAGAAGAAGATTTTTGAAATTTCAGTCAATAAAACCCTTTTTGGCCCCACCCATCAGCCCCGGGGGGTCAGTCAGGGCTCATATGTGCATACCATCAAACTGCTATCCAATACTGATAATGCTAACCCAAATTGAATTGGAAATTAAACAAATGTTGGTCCAAAATGTTATTTCCCTATATAAACTATAGTAAAGTTTCCCCCCCCCCCAGGGGTAAACGTGAGACCCCAGGGTCAAGAAATTCACAATTTTGGTAAAGCACCTTAAGACCCTTCCATCTATGAAGAGTATTGGATTCTACCATATCTGAATCTTGAGAAGAAGATTTTTGAAATTTCAGTCAATTTGACCCTTTTGGTCCCGCCCCTCAGGACCCTGGGGGCTGGGCACCAAATCGGCCACTATTGTTGTTGACCTTTGGCCATGGAAGGTTTCTGCAAAATTTCATTGAAATTGGTTAGGGGTTTTGGAGGAGAAGTCAAAAATGTAAATAGTTTACGGACGGACGACGACGGACAAAAGGCGATCGCAATAGGTCACTTGAGACTTTGTCTCAGGTGACCTAAAAATCCTTCTTCTTCTGTAGGAATGAAAGAATTTGTTCCATATTTTGTCTGAAGCATCCTTGGCTAAGGGGAACCAATTTTGTATAACCTGTGGGTCTGGCCCCCCAGGGGACGGGGCCAAAGGGGGCAATTGGGCTATATTGATTTAAGCGACTTCTTCTCTGGAACTAAGAGATGGATATCAACCATATTTGACTGGAAGTGGAGATTCAAAATTGCACAAATGGTTGGGCTGACCCACCAGGGGGCTGAGGGCAGGCCAAAAGTGGCCAATATGGCTATATTGCTACAAACGAACCCTTCTGTAGAACTATGCACTGGATATCAACCATATTTGACTGGAAGTATCCCTAGGTGGTGGGGATTCAAAATTGTACAAATGGTTGGGCTGACCACCCAGGGGGCTGAGAGGCAGGGCCAAAAGGGGGCAATTTGGCTATATTGCTATAAACGGCTTCTTCTGTAGTGTTATGCCATGGATATCGATCATATTTGGTCAGAAGCATTCATGGGAGGAAGGGATTCAAAATTCAAAATTGCACATTTGCTTCCAGGATAGCCTAGGGTCTGGCCCCGACCTTTGAGACCTAGTCCCTGGGTCATAACTTTGAAACGGTTGAGATCCCCACCCCAGAACTATATATACAAATGATTGGCATAAAGAGACAAAAGTAGTCATGGTATTAGAAAAGACCCTGGGGCTGACCGAACCCCTAGGGACCTAGTTTCTTAGTCACAGCTTGGAAACAGTTGAGATCCCCACCCTATAACCATGCATATAAACAATTGCTGAGTATAAAGAGAAGAATGCACATATGCTTCCAGGATGGCCTTGGGGTCTGCCCCACCCTTGGAGACTTAACCCATAGGAAAAAAGTTTATAACTTCGAAATGGTTAAGATCCCCACCCCAAAACTATATATACAATTGTTAGGCATAAAGAGACGAATGCAGTCATGATACTAGAATTGACTCCAGGGTCTGCCCCACCCTTGCAGACTTAACCCCTGGTCAATATCTTTGAAACGGTTGAGATCCCCACCCCAAGACTATAAATACAAATGCCAGACAAAAAGAGACGAATGCAGTCATGATATTAGAATTGATCCTTGGGTCTGACCACAACCCTAGGGATCTAGTTTCTAAGTCACAGCTTGGAAACATTTGAGATCCCCACCCCATAACCATACATTTAATTGCTGGGCATGACAAATCTAATACTGTATACAGACATACTACAAGAATTGGCATTGTATTTCAGTGTAAGTTACATTGTCACTGTGGCATTGTATTTCAGTGTAAGTTACATTGTCACTGTGACACAGGTGTCTATCTCCTAGTTAACACCACTTTTTTTTCATGAAACATCCAATATATGTAAAGGTCTTAATTTTAAACAGTAAAAATTACAACTCTGACATATAGGCCGGTACTTATACATATACATATCATAACAAAATACCTGGGTATGGTCCTTGTTATGATGTATATAGTGGTCAACAACATGTCTTACTCCTAAATTCTCTACTACTTTTGTGTTGGTATCAATAGTTCCAACTTTGCTGAAGGAACAGTGACCATTCTGATTGGTCAGTTGACTTTGCTGAAGGAACAGTGACCAATCAGAATGGTCACTGTTCCTTCAGCAAAGTCAACTGACCAATCAGAATGGTCAGTTGACTTTGCTGAAGGAACAGTGACCATTCTGATTGGTCAGTTACCAGAATACTACCAGTATCAGAAACACCATCATTGAAAGCAAGAGGATAAGATTAATTACAACACTAAACAAATAATAAGATTAATATCAGATACATGACATGTCGTCAACAATGTAAAGTTTTTTATTAACGAAAACAAAAGCAGATCATGCAAAGTTTAACAGATTCTTTCGACACATCTTACAATTAACACTCTCAATTTGTGCACTATAGAATTTAAGTTGCTTTGTTCCTGGTATAAATGGCCTGCTCTATCCAGCCCACCGATGAAGCTGATGATCCTGTTATAATTAAAACTATACTATATAAGACCAGTACATTACTACACTGAGTCTAAACTGGCTAAAATCTTGTGTCTAGGCCTGCAGTCTTTCAGATTAGACTTCCTGTGTGGAATAATCGTAGTTCCTATTTCCGAATAATACTATATATAGAAATGTAACGGTTTCCTTGTTAATGAAGCCAGATGATGGGACTAAACATTGTAACTTGAGAGACATCAAGGACTTCCTTGTTTATATAAAATGTATATATATATATCACAAGACCTAAATTGGTCTCCAAAATTACAGTAATATTAATACAAGCAGATGAAATACAATGATCAATTCTCACTACGCTGTCTAAGGTTTTGCTTCCTCTTTCTGCTCTGCACTTATGCTATTAAACAGTAGAGAATTTCCAAAAATTTCCTTTCGTTTGGTTTTGATATTATAGCAACACAAATCTATTCCGTCTTTTCGTATTGCAGAGTTATCTTCTCTTGTGAGAAGGTATTGATTGTTACGTCATCTGTTTGCGAGAGTATAACGTCATCAATTTTTGAGAAAACACACAAACCAATGACGTAACAATCAATACCTGCTCACAAGAGAAGATAACTCTGCATTACGCAAAGATGGAATACAACAAATGGAACGGAAAGCCTCGCGAAATTCCCTACGAAGCCAGCAGTATATGATCGGGTTGATCATTGAGTTACTCATAGCCAGGAATAAAGTTATGTTTTTCAATGTCTCCGACAAGTCGTTGTCGATTTTCACACTGTATTTAATCGGTCCTACGATGGTGAATGGTACCCAGAATATGTAGAACAAAAACAAAACGAGGGCCATAACTTTCGCAGATTTGGTATCCTTTTCCATCTGTTTATCTATTCTATGGTTTCCTCTCAAGCTGTCCTTGCGTACTTGCTTCTGCTGTTGTCTGGCTACAAGGAATATCCTGATGTACAAGTAGAGAGAGACTACCAGACTGATGCCAATGGAAAAGAAAGCAGCGTATAAGGTGTAAGCTAGTGGCAGGATTTTGAAGTAGTCGCATATCTGTATTTCATCGTATGAATTCCAGACAAGAGGTAGAATGCACACTGGTACAATGTAGATCCACATACACACGATAAAAATCCGCACTCTCTTGTGAGTCAAAATTGTCTTGTATTTAAGTGGATGCAAAATGGCCACATACCTGTCGAAACCAATGGCAACCAGGTTTATCATAGAAGCACTCATGGAAGCACATACTGAGGAAAACTTGAATAGACACAAATATTTCACCGATTGCACAAATGTTAATTTGAAATAAAATAGTGAATAAACTGGAAGGGTGATGACCGCTAGTAAGGAATCAGCAACGGACAAGCTCCCCACCAATGTATAGGTAATCGTGCGTAACCGTCGGAACTTCACCAACGAGATAATCACAAGGAAGTTTCCGAAACATATACAAGGAATGAGTAACACACATAGGATACCAAGAACAAAGTCAGCAACATTGCGGAAATCCTTAAACTTTCCACCAGCGCTCTCCGCTATAGAACTGTTGTCATAGACAGACAAATTGTTGATGTCGATCATTCTGTTCCGAAAACTGTCGGACATAGTAAAGAAAAATTGGCCAGGTTCTTCTGCTGTTTTATCTTCTAGGTTTCAGTTTTGCATTGCAAATGATTGTATGATGTGCATTTTGAATTGATTTTTCAATGCTGTGGCAGAGTTGGTTATGATAATCAATGGGAGAGGTTCATACTCCTGCTGTATCTGTGGCTTCTGAAACAAGACATGTGTATAGATTAATACATTTTATAATGGATAAAAAAACAAAATGTAGGGAAATCTCATATCAATAATTAAACAAGAGGCCCAGAGGGCTTGTATCCCTCACCTGGATATCTAAACAATCATTGCAAAATATTCTCCAAATAAGATCCAAGGGAATATGTAATAACAAGTACTTTTCAAGGCTGTGCAAACCATGTGTATTAGATTTGTCATGCCCAGCAATTAAATGTATGGCTATGGGGTGGGGATCTCAACTGTTTCCAAGCTGTGACTCAGAAACTAGATCCCTAGGGTTGTGGCCAGACCCCAGGATCTAATATCATGACTGCATTTGTCTTTTTTTGTCCAGCATTTGTATTTATAGTCTTGGGGTGGGAATCTCAACCATTTCAAAGTTATGACCCAGGGGTTAAATCTGCAAGGGTGGGGCAGACCCTGGGGTCAATTCTAATATCATGACTGCATTCGTCTCTTTATGCCCAACACATTCGTCTCTTTATGCCCAACAATTGTATATATAGTTATTCTATCCCTTAGCACGGGGTTTTGAAGTTATCACCCAGGGGTTAAGTCTCCAAGAGTGGAGCAGCCTCAAGGCCATCATGGAAGCATATGTGCATTCCTCTCTTTATACTCAGCAATTGTATATATGCATGGTTATAGGGTGTTTCCAAACTGACACTAAGAAACTAGGTCCCTAGGGGTTCGGTCAGACCCCAGGGTCTATTCTAATACCATGACTAATTTTGTCTCTTTATGCTAAGCATTTGTATATATAGTTCTGAGGTGGGGATCTCAACCGTTTCAAAGTTATGACCAAGGGACTATGTCTCAAAAGGTTGGGGCCAGACCCTAGGCCATCCTGGAGGCAAATGTACATGCTTCTCTTTATACTCCACAATTGTATATATATATACAGTGTGGATCTCAACCATTTCCAAGTTATACACTTTTTTTGGCCCCACCCCTTAGCACGGGGGGTGGGGTGGGGGGGTGGGGGGTGTGTCAGCCCAACCATTTGTACAATTTTGAATCCCTGCCTCCCGTGAATGCTTCTGACCAAATATGATTGATATCCATGGCATAATTCTACAGAAGAAGTCGTTTATAGCAATATAGCCAAATTGCCCCCTTTTGGCCCTGTCCCTTAGCCCCCTGGGTGGTTAGCCCAACCATTTGTACAATTTTAATTCCCCATCACCTAGGGATACTTCCAGTCAAATATGGCTGATATCCAGTGTATAGTTCTACAGAAGCCGTTTTTAGCAATATAGCCATATTGCCCATTTTTGGCCCAGCCCCTCAGCCCACTGGGGGTTCAGCTCAACCATTTGTATGATTTTGAATCTCCAATACCGAGGGATTCTTCCAGTCAAATATGGTTGATATCCATCTCTTAGTTCCAGAGAAAAAGTCGCTTAAATCAATATAGTCCAATTGCCCCCTATTGGACCAGCCTCTCAGGCCCCTGGGGGGGCCAGACCTGCAATTTATACAAAATTGGTTCCCCTTCAACGAAGGATGCTTCAGACCAAATATGGAACATATCCTTTCATTTCTACAGAAGAAAAAAGATTTTAAAGAATTTACTATGTGTTCCCTATTGGGCCCGGCCCCTCAGCCCTTAAGGGGGCAAGACCCACGGTTTATATAAAATTGGTTCCCCTTCACCCAAGGATGCTTCAGACCAAATATGGAACAAATCTGCTCAGTCGTTTATGACAAGTAGCGATTTTTAGGAAAAGTTGACGGACGACGCCCCATGGCATAAGCTCACTTGCCCTTCGGGCAGGTGAGCTAAAAACATATATCACAAGATTTCACATAACATGTGGACAGAGGTGCTTAGTTATGTTGCTGATATACTAGTTAAAGGAACATTGCTATCTTCCTGTTTATGAAATCATCAAAGGTGGGTGTCTGCTGTTTTTTGTCACCATTTCACTATTCAATAGATGTTAAGCGTAACCAAGAGTCAAGCAAGTTTTAACATCCCATTTTTAGGTCAAAGTGACCTATTCCGATCACTTTCCGTCCATCGTTGTCCATCGTGCGTAAACTTTTTACATTTTCAACTTCTTCTCAAGAACCAGTGGATGGAACTTTTCAAACTTCGGCAGAATCATCATTGGTAGATGAGGCTACAAAATTGTAAATTGGGATTCCTACCCCAACCCCTAGGGCCAGGGTTGGGCCCCAAAGGGAAAATTGACCAATATTTCAAAAATCTTCTCCTCCAGACTCAGAGGTACTACCGTCATTTTCTCTGCATGGATGGAAAGATCATCGGGGGCTTTATTTAAACTGTAAATTTCAGGACCCCCGATATATCTGTTATCCCTGTGGGAGGGGGTAAAGTTTACTATAGTTTATATAGGGAAATAACACTTTTGTGTATATTTTTACAATTTTCTGTTTGAAATTATTCTTACTTGGTGAGAACTATCCTTGGAGGAAGATGGTCTTGAATTGTAAAATTGGGATTCCTACCCCAATCCTAGGGACCAGGTCAGGCCCCAAAGGGAAAATTTACCAATATTTCAAAAATCTTCTTCTCCAGACTCAGGGGTACTAGTCAATTTCAGTGCATGGTTAGAAAGATCATCAAGAGTTTTACTGAAATTGTCAATTACAGGACCCCTGAGCCATCCGTTCCCCCTTGGAGAGGGGGTAAAGTTTACTATAGTTTATATAGGGAAATAAAACTTTTAGGTATATTTTATCCATTTTCAGCAGAAAATTATTCAAACTTGGTCAGAATCACCTTTGGTGGATGAGGGTATTTCATCGTAAAATTGGAATTCCTGCCCCATCCCCAGAGGCAAGGGCAGGGCCCCAAAGGGAACATTTACCAATATCTTAAAATTCTTATCCTTTGATGAAATGACAAGTTTTGTATTTCACTTAGTGTGTACACTAAGTGAAATTTCCTCATCACATCTATTAAGCTACCAGTACCTATGATATAGCTCAGGTGACCGCTAAGGCCCTTGGGCCTTTTGTTAGCTCAGCATGGTGCTTCGGACATCTACTGTATACTGCTACCTGTTGCCATCCTGGGGCAGAGGGGCGGGGCCGAATATGGGAAATAGAGGTAAAACCTTCAAAATCCTTCTCCTACCGTAGGAATTAAGGGATTTTATTCTTATTTAGTCTGGAGCATCCTTAGGCCAATGGGACTCAATTCTGTATGAATGGTGGGTGCCCCCCCCCCCCCCCCCCTGGGGTCAGAGGGGCGGGACCAAATGGGGGAAAAAGAGGATAAACCTTTAAAATCCTTCTCCTACCATAGGGATTAAGGGATTTTATCCTAATTTAGTCTGGAGCACCCTTGGGCCAAGAGGACTAAATTTTGTATAAACAGTGAGTGTGGCCCCTTTTGGGGCAGAGGGGCGGGGCCGAATATAGGAAATAGAGGTTAAACCTTTAAAATCCTTCTTTTACCATAGGGATGAAGGGATTTCATCATAATTTGGTCTGGAGCATCCTTGGGCAAAAGGGACTTAATTTTGTATAAGCAGTGAATGTGGCCCTCCTAGGGGCAGAGGGGCGTGGCCCAATAGGGGAAATTGAGCAAATTCTTCAAAATCCTTCTACTTCTGTAGGAACGGCAGGATTTTGTCAAAATTAGGAAGGTATGAAGCACCCTGGGTGAAGGGGAACCAACATTGTATAAATGATTGACCTGACCCCCCTGGGGGCAGAGAGGCGGGCCCAATAACGGATATAGAGGAATAGCTTTAATATCCTTTCTTTTCCAAAGAGGTATTTCGACCAAATTTGAATAGTACGATCCTTTGGGGAAGGGAAATCAATTTTGTATAAATGGTGGGTGTGGCCCCCCTATAGGGCCTGAGGGGTGGAGCCCAATAGGTGTAATTTTGCAAATTCTATAAAATTCTTCTTTGTGTGACATGATTTTGTCCATATTTGGTCTAATTATCTGTTGGTGAAGGGGACTATATTTTGTATTAACATTGGATCTGACTCCCTGGGGTAGAGGGGTGGGGCCCAATTGTGGAAACATAGCAAATTCTTCAAAATACTTCTTTTTTTTAGAAATGACAGGATTTTGTCCAAATTTGGGACGAAGCACCCTTGGGTGAAGGGGAACCAATTTTGTATAAACGGTTTTAAACCCATGGGACAGAGGGGCGGGCCAAATAGGGAAAATAGAGCAAATTCTTCAAAATCCTTCTACTTCTGTAGGAATGACAGGATTTTGTCAAAATTATGAAGGTATGAAGCACCCTTGGGTGAAGGGGAACCAACATTGTATAAATGATTGACCTGACCCCCCTGGGGGCAGAGAGGCGGGCCCAATAATGGATATAGAGGAATAGCTTTAATATCCTTACTTTTCCAAAGAGGTATTTTGACCAAATTTGAATAGTACTTCTACTTCTAAATGGTACTGACCAACTTCAACAATTTGAAGATAAAATGTCAGACAAGGAGTGAAACATGGAAAGAGATTGTTTTTAAAAGATACGAGATGGTCTAATTTGCGTTTGAAAGGTGACGGTAGAGGGCTGATTTGAATAATTCCGTTGTGGGGCTCGAAATAATGTCAGGTGGGAGTTTATTCCACTCCGGTATAGTTTGAGGGAAGAATGATGCCTTTCTGGTCTGGGTTTTTGAGTGGGGAATTTGATACGAAAACTGGTGGTTTGTTCGGGATTCCCTAACTGTAGGGATTAATCTGTCTGATTTTACGATAGCGACTTTCTGGTTTACAAGCATGGTCAGACGAGCATCTCTACGTCTATCTGCTAGAGGGCGCAGCTTTAGGTGGTCCATTATTTCTGACACACTGGAGGTACGATGGTTGTACCTGTGCTTATTGAGCACATAGCGCTGCCCTTCGCTGGACCATTTCCAACTTGTCAATATTTGTTTGGGTGTGAGGGTCCCATACTGTACAGGCATACTCAAGTGATGGTCGAACTAATGATTTGTATGCCTGTACTTTGGCTGATGTTGAGCCAATTTTAAGATTTCGTCTTAAAAAGCCTAGCGTAGAATTTGCTTTTTGGCAGATAGTATTTATATGTGAATCCCATTTAAGGTCAGATGAAAGTGTTTACACCCAGATACTTGGCCTGACTAGTACGATCCTATGGGGAAGGGAAATCAATTTTGTATAAATGGTGGGTGTGGCCACCCTATAGGGCCTGAAGGGTGGAGCCCAATAGGTGTAATTTTACAAATTCTATAAAATTCTTCTTCTTATGTAGGAATGACTGGATTTTGTCCATATTTGGTCTAATTATCTTTTGGTGAAGCGGACTATATTTTGTATTAACATTGGATCTGAACCCCTGGGACAGAGGGGTGGGGCCCAATAGCAAATTCTTCAAAATACTTCTTCTTTTTAGGAATGACAGGATTTTGTCCAAATTTGGGACGAAGCACCCTTGGGTGAAGGGGAACCAATTTTGTATAAACTGGATTTATAACCCCATGGTTCAGAGATGCGGGGCCAAATAGGAAAAATAGAAAAAAGTTTTAAAATCCTTCTTCTTCTGTAGGAATGACAGGATGGATTATGTCCATATTTTGTCTAAATCAACCATGGGTAAAGGGCAGCTAATTTTGTATCAACGGTGGGTTTGACCCTACTGGGGGCAGAGGGGCGGGCCCAATTGTAGAAACATAGCAAATTCTTCGAAATTCTCCTTTTCCTGTAGGAATGACAGGATTTTGTGCAATTGCATATAAATATAACCCCTTACTAACCATGTAATACATGTACAGCAATATCTGGCTATTTCAACTTTAATTTCCAGGTGAGTGATACAGGCCCTAGTTATACTAATCTTTTAATAATGTGTTTAAAGTACAAAAAATATTACAAAATTAAATAACACATTTCATCTTATCATATGTCATATCAGCAGCATAAGGACTACAGAATAGATAGATTTAATATTGAATCTATGTATTTTTATATGTATGATTAATGTTGAAATATTATAAATTTTAACATTTGTTATTAAAATCTAAAAAATCTTATATGATGTATCAAAATATGATCAGCTTCCAGCTCACCTTAGATAGAAGGGTGAACAGGTAAAAACACAGGTAAATACTGCCAATACTACTCAGAAACTGACTATAGTATATAATCATTCCAAAAAAAGTGGGGGAACTGAGAACAAGCCACCTATACATCAGTATCAATTTGACAACGTGATCAACTCCTAGTTTGCCGTAGTGAAGAAAATATATTGATCTTACCAAAATGTCAGTGCATGACGCGTTGACAGCACGGGAAGAAGTGACGCGAATTTCGAGCTCGTTCTATATATATGTGCATTTTCATTGGTCGAGAGGTTAGCAGGACAGTACGAACGTCGCCCTTGAATTCGAATTCCGCCGTGTGAATTCCGTCCACGAATTCTTGTTTTCTTTTCTAAAACCGAGCATTTCCCTTAAAGCCCTAGTGTGGTTATACGTGCATGCCTTTGGTAATGTTTGGTAATTTTAAGCCCAGTGGCGGATCCAGGGACCTATCGGGGGAGTGTCCAAATTTCCAGGGGGGCCGATGACGTCCATGTCGGGGAAAATTGAAGAAAATGGTGAAAATACAGGGTTTTTTGAAAGAAATTCTCAGGTTGGGGGGGTTCCCTGAGGCCCAAAAAACTTCTCTGGATCCTCCACTGATTAAGCCTAACTTTGTGATCGTGTTCGTGTACGTGAAAGCTATACCGGTCGTGGTGAGACATCATCCGTACTTCAGCACTCTTTTCGTCGAGGAATAATATCCTTCCGGTATGTCTAGCTATCGTCAATCCGGGACCTGTCACGTTACCCTTCACAGACGACACAGACGCTACGTTTCCTGTCTCGACGGTTTGAGATACCATCGATGAGTTAGTCCTATACTAAATAGGGGATTAATAACACACACCCCCGTGTTTTGATGACTTGGTATAAAAATGGTATGAAATATCGATGAGTAGTAACATGATTAAACCTTTACAGAATCATATAAAAAGATCCGGGATAGATAGTCATAAAAAAATCATGTACGTTCTATTTATAATTTGTCGATTTCTCATTGTAGAGACATCCATGGCTTCATTCGACCTTCGGGACCAGCCAGCCTATGATGACAGTTTTGACCTTACTCTCCAAGACCATGAGGACCCGACTACTGTCGATCGCAGAGCAGTTAGTAAATCTTCAAACGGAATACACTAATAAAACATAAAAAAAATGTTGTTGAACATCTATAAATGTAATCATTCATGTATTATTATTTTTTCATTGTAGTTCCCTAGCCGACGCCCTTATCACGGACACCGTACTGGAGGATGAAGAGGTGACCTGGGAGATATAGTAGACCAGGGAACCAATCGTCGTTGCCGGAAGCTTGTTTCCAGTGATGGAACTCTTGAAGTAAAAATAAAATGTCTGAAGGCAATGAGGGATGGCGGGTTGCTATGCCTATTTCCCCAAAGTTATGTTACGCTAGTGCGCGCATCCAACCGTGCACTGTTATGACGCGTTATCAGGTATTTTTATACAGGTATACGTAGTTATATCGGAATCATGTGTCTAAGAAAAGATTATTGTAAACAGACGAATTTAAGGCCATGGGTATTAATACATACGTTTAACGATAAAGGCTCAACACAATGCTTATTTCACGTTTTTTATATTGATTTATAACAAATTATACGCTTATATGTAATACAAGATCGTGCAATCTATACGAAACAGTTTTGAACGGATTTAATTTTCATCACTACCTGCGTTCGGTAAATCGGAAGCATTCAGAATGAGTTCTGAGAAAGTATCCGGTCTCGGGCGATAATCCGTATGTCGCACTAAATAGTAACGAAATTATTACTAACAAAACTGATAAATCAATAGATATGTTATTGAAATGTAAACAAAATTTTCCATCGATTTGAATAACAAAATATTGCTTTATTAAGGAAAATGATCACATGCCTAAAAATTAAAAAAAAAGGAGGGAGGATTCGAACCTGCACCGTTTATTTTTAAGTCACAAGTAAACTGCGTTACACATTCGGCTACATAGAACATATAGATATTGGCAATTACAAACTGATTTAACCCGAGAAACACCTGTCGCAGTTTAGAGAAACTTGATCAACCCTGTTTTTCATTATTTGAGCACTTTCCCAAAGGAGGACCACTTTTCCGTAATACAATTTGTTTTTGCGTACTACATCACGGTCACAAAAAGTTTATTCAAAAGTTGGTCCTCAGATTGGAAAGTGTTGAAAGTATTTTTTTTAAGTCCGGGAAACCCCATCACTTTCATAGATATAGTGTAATATGGCTATATTTGCAGTATCATATTAGCAATACCTAATATCTCAGCAGTTTAAAAATTCATATTTCAATTGGTTCTATATCTTTTGTATGCATTTTTGATACACGAAATGTTTTATTCCTTATTTTGTTTTCCCGTTTTCATAAATGCCGACTTAGGGAAATACGGGCAGTTTTCCGCCATACATCTTTCAAGATGTGTTGGTAATACTGAAAAGTAAAAGTTACATTAAAATGTGAATGCAACATTGAATGTTAAGTTTTAATTTAATATGAACAACGCGACGGATCTGTATGTTTTATCTGTTATGTACTATTTATTACAGGGATTCACCAAGACAACGTGGAGAAGTTCCGTCCGGAATAAGAATGTGTGGTGCCGGGCCAGCGTCGGCCAGCGATGGGATGTGTACACCTGCGGCACAATTGACCATGCCCGCGGTCCGGACAACTTGGCCATGAAGATGGTGAAGGTGAAGACTCTTCCCTGAATACATGATAACTTTAGACCAATATACTATTCGATAATGGCGTTTTCATACATTTGAAAATATTTTCATATCTAAAATAACATAAGTTTATTGTTAAAGGATTTCATGTATTTTTTACATTTACAGATATTAACCGAGGCCATGGCCAACGTTCATACGTCGGCAGCATCGATAATGGAGGACGTCCTACAGGAACAGATTGGTTCCAGGCACTTCAACCTGCCGAAACCTTCCTATCTCATCCATGCCGCCAATCGTGCGACAGATGATCCGCCACGGAAGCCCACTGACCTGGACTTTGTCGTAAGTATTACTATCTATTTATAGTCTAATGCTACAAGGTATAACGTGTCCGATGGTAGGTTACAAAGCAAAGCAAGATACATTTGTATCCAAACATATATATTAAAACATGTTTAAATATCTTAGTGGAAGTTGTTTTTTACTTTTCATAGGTATATGGATGGGACCTTCAAGATCCGGAAAGAGCCATTCACTCAGCTGTGGAGTATTCATGCGTTCCTTCAGAAGGACCAGTGCTTGAAGCAGGTGTCGCTACTATTCGTCTTGATGTCGAGACAGCCAGCACAGGACTACGTTGCTGTAAGTTATAACAATGCAATGATATAGATTAAATTTTTATTTGAAAAACTACATAAAAACATCACCAGAGATACTTTGATTTTATTTTCAAATCAGCTAATATCCGTTCTTAATCGTTCTTCCTTTATAGGTTCTTCACTGACTCCTGGAGGTTCTCTGGGATCCGGCATTGGAGGGAGCAGTGATGGACTTTGAGCCACGTAATTTTGATAAAAAGCAGGTGTAAAAAGTTGCAGCACTAAAACATCAGTGAATCTTACAAGGAAATAGTTATTTGCTTATGATTAAATTCAACGTCATTAATAAATTGTCAAAACTGATTGTGACCTAACTCATAAAACTTCTATTTGTTACCTACATCTCTTTTCATTTCAGCCTCTTGGAATGCAGTCAGCACCGTCCTTCCAGTAGTGGATCTTCGGGGGTGTTCATTCCACTGGTGCCAGGCTGTGACAAGGAAGGCCGCGAGCCTCGGACTAAGGACAACATATATGAAACGTGAAGGTGCGTATAATATGATGATGATGATGATGATGATGATGCGGTATGTGTTATAGTCAACAAAACAATAAGTTTCACCTAGAATTTCATATATGTTAAGTAATTTGAACATGTCACGCCATTATGTGTTACGTCATTATGTATACAATGTATGTGCCATACTTGGTATCCTACTGATTTGTGTTTCAGGTGTTCACTGCTTCATCAGGAAGCTCCTGGCACTTCCCTTCCTGCCTGCCACCCAGATCGAGCCAGCCTTCCCCCGGATGATGTCCTTAGCATCTACTCCGGAGCTGCGACAGTTGGTAGAGTACCTTGACCGGGTCTGGTTCCACAGCTCAGTTTGGACTCCAGCCAACTGGTGTGTGTATCGTCAGTCAGTTCGCACCAACAACGATGTCGAAGGTATGTATAATAAGAATTTGAAACTGGTGCAACAATTTAGGTAAACTAACCAAACAGATTTCATAATTAGTCAAAATGACAAGCTTTGTATATCTTAATATATTACGAATTTACATGAAAATGTATAAATTCCACCGTCAGTTTAAAATATAGATTCTACCTGAAATAAAAATCGATGTTTTGTGTACCTATGATTTGATAAATTTTATCATTATGATTTCTTTTTACAGGATGGCACCGCAGGATGAATGGCAAAGCCGGTCGAGCAAACCTCCCCTTCTACCTCCTGGTCCCTCTCATGAAGAAGGAAGGAGAGATCGTCAATCTCCATATGCGACTCGTTGGAGAAAACATGTTGGCCCGCCACCAGACCACCACCTACAAGCGTGTCCAGGGTAAGATATTTGACCTGTGGGACCGGCTCGACTCTGGGGATCCGGACAGTCGCCTGACAACATCGGACTTCCTGAGGAAGTTTGGCAACATCTAATCACCGTGCCAGAGAGCGATACAGTCGTAGAAAAATCATTTCGGACAAGGACAGTATTTAATAGTGACCAGTTGTGTTTTCGGATTGTAATAGGACAACTAGTGTTGAATAGTGAAATAGTGCGGTGAATAGGACAAATAGTGTAGGGCAGTGAACAGGACAAATACTGTAGGGCAGTGAATAGGACAAATAGTGAAGGGCAGTGCATAGGACAAATAGTGAAGGGCAGTGAATAGGATAAATAGTGTAGGACAGTGAATAGGACAAATAGTGTAGGGCAGTGAATAGGACAAATAGTGAGGACAGTGAACAGAACAAATAGTGAGGACAGTGAATAGGACAAGCATTATTGATCATTTTGAACTTAAGATATATAAATATATTGTGAGACATCAGCTAAACATTATGGCTCTTAAAAAGGAGGCCTCCACGTGGCAAGAGCTGGTAACGATGTATACAGTTTTTAAAGAAAAAAACCTGTAATGATCGGCTAACTTCCTCATAAATCATATCAAACAAAATCATTCGAATAATTAAACCTAATTAAATAATGCCAGTGTTTCAGATTACATACAAAATGATAACTATATCTTCCTCGACGTATATAACAGATTACATTAGTACAGGTTACCTCCCCTTGTGGAACTCGCGACTGAGACAAGGAAATGCAGAAAGGAATTTATTAATTTAAATATATATGTTCAGAGGTTGATATATAAATGAAACCCAAAGAAAGGGGTTATTATAATATTTATGTATATTCCATGTGTACATATAGGGCCGATTTTAACTTGAGCCGATTTCACTTTGGTAAATCGAGGCCGTTTTTACCTTGGGCCGATATAACCATAAATCTCTCCCAGTGATAACGTCAGCTTCGCCGTTTTTCACGTTATACCACAGATGTGGATAGTGTATCTCGGCTAATCCCACCTCCCAATTTCCTTTCAGATCCAAGGGTTATGACAACCGCGTCGTT